AATTAGCACAGAAACAGTACTATATAACATTTTAGACACATTCTAGACAGTTTATCAGCTAAAAAAAAGTTAATTTTGGGGCAAGTTACTCTTTAAGAAGGTGGTCTAGCAGGGGAATCAAAAGGTGGCGTTGGAGGAACAGGGTTCCTACAGTTTAAGGCAAGTTAAATTTAAGACTTTTTAATGCCAAGTGAATCAAATTTAAGACCAATTTCACAATAAACACAAATGACAAAAAAAAATGAACTGTGGCAGAAACTCATGAATCAAAGCATTTTTGGTTGAATTATTCAAATACTGCTAATAGACCAATTGTTTTTATCCATATCTAACTGCTATTTTGCCAAATATAGCAAAAAATCACTCTAAGTTGTCAGTTTTAAACTTAATTTAATTCCTGGAAATCCTCTAACGACCCAAATTTTGGAGTTTTATGACCAACAGTGGGTTCTCAACCCCAGCTTGCTGTAGATGAAAACTTAAATTGCATGTGATGTTAAACTTTGGTAAGAAATATGAATGCATTTTTGGAAAGACAGCATTATTAACATATTAGAAAACGAATTTGACATTGCTCAGATGAACAGTTGTTGAGATATTTGCATGTGAAATAACAGGAAGTGGTGTCAAAAGGGAACATCTGAATGAGAATATTTCAAAAATTAATAAATGTTACCAATTATTTTAATATTTTAGATGAATTACAGTCATTCTACTTACYATGTGTTAACATTTTTAAGACTTCTCAAGATTGATTTAAGACCTTTTAAGGCTAATTAAGGCCTTATTTTTCAATTGATGAATTTAAGGCCTTTTGAGACTTTTTAAGGATCTGCGGGAACCCTGAGGAAATGATGCAAGTGATAATAAATGGTTTTAAAAAAATTGTATGACTCCACAACAATGTTTTTTTCCTGACTTATTGGGAATGTCCAACAATGTCCACTTTCAAAATCCGACATATAATACGAATCATGAATTTTTAAATAAATTTAGTAGCACAAGCAGTTCAAATGAAATTTTGTCAGCATTTAACTCTTGTGGTAACACCACCAATATGTATTAAATGAGCTCCAACTTACCACTGTCTAAACTGTTTAGACGCTTCCTTCTCTTCCCAGTGGGATGTTTAATTTGTGAGGCATTTGCAACATTCAGTTCATCTTTGACTTCTGCAGATGCTGAACCACTCTGTGAATCTGGAAAAAAAAAAGAAAAAAAATATATATACTATGTGTGTGTGTGTGTATATATATTATAAAAATGACCAATTACCAATACTAATATAATAATATAAGACAGCATTTTGTGTGAAGGTGGCAGTGAAAGCTACAATTTCTTATAATAAAGGTTGAGAAAGAAATCTGCGACTGAATGAAACATCTGGCACTGCTAACACTAAACCTGAGGTCTGAGTACACACAGCTGTTCACTGTGAGGAATTTATCCAGAATATGGTAATACAAAGCATGTCAAATTACATTAATCTTCAACTGATGTTAGCAAACTGTTAAAATTTTTAAAGTTTTTATCAAGTTTACATTTTTTGAAGCATTGTGAGAATTATGTAACATTTATTGTACCATTCCACAAATAGGCCTTTTTTTTTTTTGAGGACATACTTGCCAAGCCAGCYATGTGAAAAGCAGGATCTTCGTTGTCCAGCAGATTGAACTGAGCGCTTGCGCACCCAAACATGGGGTCTTTGTCACTGAGCATGTTTTTCAGGGAATCTTCCAGCCTGGGTCCAGCTGTCCCAAACTCATTACTGGCTTCACATTCCAAATTCTGACCTATCACCAGGGACTCATCCAACTGGTCACTGGGTATTAAATGATTAAAGGTGTCCACTATATCCATCAATGCTGCCCACTTCCTAAAATAAAACAACACAGAGAGTGGCATGTCATTTACCTTATTTATATTACAGGAGGTTGCCCATTRGTTTCAAAACAGTAACTATGCAAAAATCCACTATATTTTCAACCAAATGTCTTTTTAGTATTCAAAATTACCAAACAAAAAAACTTCAAAATCAGCAGAGCTTAAAGTTCTGCTGTTTGGAATAATTCATTAGCTGGATGTCTGCCCAGCTTATTAACCCGTTTTTGTTGGTGGTTCATGTTTACAAACAATAAAACAGTAAGCACACTGATAATTGCACTTATTAAACTGCTCCAATTGACAGTTTTGGGGGATAAATATATAAACAACACACAAAGATGAAGTGAAGTTGACCAACTAGAATTCAGTGTTGTTAATCAAGCGCGAAGACCACAACTTAAACAGGCCTCTTTATAAAGTCTTTAAACCAAAAACCCTTCATTTAAATTAAATACAGTAATGTTTGTCAATGGACGGGCTCACATAACAATAAACAACAAGCGAAACAAGAATTTCTCTAAAGAACTGGTGAAAACGTGTTCGCCAGCTCGTGTGACGATAACAATCCGTTGCAGATCGCCATCATGGATGTTTGTTAGCATGCTAATGTTAACCTAAAAATAAAGCTGCTTACAATGGAAAGCAACCAGATATTTAAAAATTGGTTTGGTTATTAAAATGTGAATTTCCAGTTACGATGACCCGTAAGGGATTCATTTTTAAAAAGTACAAAGTAACAGAGTTAGACAAGTCGATGCTAAATATTCAAGACGGGTTAGCTCGATAGCTGTAGCACGTCACATTTAGGGCCTTGGAAGTTTGTTTGTAGCCTGACAGCTGCTCGCGCTCGTTAGACGATAACACTTACGTGTATCTTTTGTATGCACTTGCAGTTTAGATATTTGAAAGTATATATATTTGTGTGTTTATAAAACCCTCACCTCTCCGGTGGTGCGATAGCGTTGCCCACTCGTGCAGGGTTACATACTAGCAAAGCAGCTGCACCCTAACTTCCTCTACCAGGCCGTCATTCGTCCCGCTGCTGCAAAGCTGCTGAGGGGGCGGGGCTACTGGTCACGTGGTCGTACAAAAATGACAGGTTTATTGSCAGCTTACTTTTACAGTTCCTGCCATGTATACTTAGTAAACTTTTGCAAAAGCAGATGAATGCCAAAGTTATAACTGTCAAAAGTTGACTCCTGATTGTTTTTGATTTAGCATATTGCGTGCAAATTTGCTCAGAACTGGAGTAAAGTGCTGACATTATTTGTAAGTTAGTATCCAAATGTAGGATGKACAAAGTCAGGAGCATTTCTGGTGAAATACTTTTTAAAAGGACTACAAAGACTAGAATGTCTGTGAGCAGCTACTGTAGGGAATAAAGAAAACTGTAACTGCAAAGACCAGTGCTGCTGATTAAAAGCACAAAACAATCTATTTTTAAGATAAAAGAAAAATACAGTCAGAACACAGACAATATATAATATCAACAAGGAATAAAAACATTCAGACATACTCAGTGCAGCTTTTATTATGAGATTGTGATATTCCTTGAAACTACAGATATGAACTTGTATGTTGCACAGTTCAACAGGTGTGTCATACCTCAAAATAATGTAGTTTTTATTGAAAACGTACAAAGTTAAAATGTAGGAGGAATTTCATTAAAACAAATCAGAAAATCTAAACTTGCAGATGTAATTTATCTCAAATCATGACATATAAAGCAAAACTATTCACATCCTTATGAATTACTGTACTTGTTCCTTTGTCGGTTGCACTGAGCTTAACTTTTAATACTTTAAATTATATTTCCCTGCACACTGTACATGGATCCAAAACATAGTTAAAAGAAACATTTAAGTAGGCTCAATTCAGCTACTACTGATCAAGTTCGTCAAACAAAGAAACACTTTTGAAGTGCAGAGTTATTAGTTAATGTGACCTAAAAGTGAAACACAAAGTATGACTGCTACTGGGACAGTTTCTCCTTCAGCCTCTCATTTGGGTTTAATCCAAACCACAGCACGTRGTGTTCTGCAGCAGCCCAAGCCATTCGCTCAGTGGTGAACGTGGCGGCCCACTGGCCCGACGGAGAAACGGCCACCGTGCCTCCTGCTCCCTGGACCCGATCACCCATGTGCTGCAGAGACAGCTGAGAGGCTTCTGCTACAGACTTACCTGGTGCAAGAAAAAAAACATAACTCTGATAAAACCCAGATAATGTTCAAATATAACACTTTGTTTTATATTATTTATGTTTTTTTTAACTCAAACAAAATCACACATCTGCATATATATAGCGAGTAAAATAAGTATTGAACACGTCAACATTTTTCTCAGTAAATATATTACTAGAGGTGCTAATGACATGAAATTTTCACCAGATGTCGGTAACAACCCAAGTGATCCATACATACAAAGAAATCAAACCATATACTGTATGTCCAGAAATGAAGTTAATTGTAATAATGTGGAATGGCACAGGGAAAAGGTATTGAACACACTAACTGAAAT